TTGATGGTGATTCTAATTTATTCCTTTTAACCAAAAAAAAAAAAAAAAAAATCCTTTTACGTTTGTTAACTTTTCATCTAATTGTGCTGATAATGGATGGAAAGAAGTACTTTTATTTATCTGATGTAATGTCTTTGCTTAAGATTATTGTTGATCCTAGTATGTTGGGAGTTGAACTGTTAAATTGTGTGTAAATGAATTTTTTATTTATTAATTTTATACTTATTCTTAATGGAAGAAAATTGTGGTTGTTATTTGCTAACATTTTTGGCAAGTTCTGTTTTATTTTTTTTCTATTGCAGGCTGGAATAGAAGGCCAAGTGACGGAAATGGGACTTACTACTACAAAGTTACTGAATGCTGAAAAATTTCCTGTATTACTGCCAAATTTAACGTTTTACAGTCAGGTGTGACCTAATCCCAACACTACTGAAATAATCATTTTGAATTTGAAGTATATTCTAATGATCAATCTCAGAAAGTCCTTTAGAAGTTTTTAAATCATATTAACACACAAAATCATCCTTGTCATCTTTGTAGTTAATTGTGAATAAGTCATGTGCTCAATGGCGTGCTGTGGCTATCAAAATTCCTTTACATATTGATGATTTGGACAAGATTCCTCAGATATCAAATGACATTAAAAGCATGCTGAGATCAAACACCAAAGTTTTCTTGGGCAGGGAGGCTCCTTATTGTTTCTTGTCTCAGATAGAAAGTTCTTTTACAGAATTGACCCTTGGATGCATTCTCAAAACCATGGTAAAACTCTACTTACTGATTGTTTCAACTTGTACTTCAGCATTTTTTTTGTTTTTCATTTCCTAATGTCTTTCAAACTTATCTTATTCAGAGCAAAGGTGAGTTATACACCACAGAACAAGATATTCGCCTGTAGTCAGTCAAGATTATGAAGAACATTGTGCTTAATTGGGTAGCAGTTACAGGTTATGATCAGTTGATGATACAGCATACTGTTAGCGTAGTCCTTCTATAGAAATTTGGCCTCAGTTGCTAGAGAAGGTTTTGGAAACAATGTGGCGAACTTCCATAAACAAGTCATGGTATCAAAGAAAGGATAACAGCTGAGAGCTACTGTATGGATAGCTGCAGCAGTTTTGAAGATTGGAAGCTTTCCCAAGAACATGATATTGACTAATTTTGTTTCTTGTTTCACTCTTTTGGAATTGGAATCCTGAAACTTAGAAGATTTTCTGTGTTAGTGGTAAGTAGGAATTGTAATGTCGACAGTCTTTGTTAATAAAGAAGTGCAGTATGATTTGGGAAACTCAGCTTTTGTTGTTTTGTTTGTTTATATAGTGAAGTGAAAATGAATCTGGGTCATGAAGGAAAATTAGCAAGGTTGATTCATAAATTGGGTTTACGGTTAATCATCATATTATCAACTCAATTAGGGACGAAATTTTTTGTCCCCAATTCACCAAGCCATTAGGGATGAAATCTTTCGTCCACAATTGATCACATTATTAGGGATGAAAATTTTCGTTCCCACTTTACCACATAGACAAGGACGAAAAAATTTGTACCCAATTTCGACCTAATCAGGGATGAAATTTTTCGTCCTCTATTGTGCTTTTCTTTTGCGATGAAACAGTGTTATTTGGGATGAATAGTTATTCTTTTGTGGACAAAAATTTTTGTCATAGAATAGATAATCTTTAATGACAAAACCGTATTTCGTCCCTAATGGTGTGGCTTTGGGGACGATTTGTTTTTCCATAGACATTACCCTTTAGTAACGTGGTTTTAGAGACGATTTGATCTATCATCTCACATTACTTTTTAGGATGAATTTTTCACTTTCTGTGACGAAAATTTTCGTCACCTTTTTTTAAATTTCTTGTAGTGGATGTGGCCAAAGAAGTGATTTGGATCAACAAGTTCGTCACTGAACTTGGCGTGGTTTCTACTATTATTAATCCAATAGATGTCTATTGTGACAATAATGGAGCAATTGCTTAAGCGAAGGAACCATAGTCTCACCAGTGATCCAAACACATTTTCAAACGATTTTATCTTATCATATAAATGGTTTACGATTTTATCTTATCAGATAAATGGTTCAGAGGAAGGATGTGCTGATTTGCAAAGTACATATTGATGACAATCTCACCAATCCACTGACGAAGGCTCTGTTGTAGCAGAAGCATGAAAAGCACTTAAGGTCATTCGATATTAGAAACATGAATGATTGACTATAGTGCAAGTGGGAAATTGTCAATCTATTATTGTAATATTGACTCTTTGTAAGAATATTTATAATTAACGAAAGACATTTTTCGACATTGCGTAATTCGTTGTGATGTATGTCCTTAGGATGATAAAATCGTAACGAGGGTATCGAGTGCTTTAAATCTCGATAGTGAAAACCCTATGATCACATATGGTGGTTATTCTAGAAATGTCTGTAGCCGCTAATATTATTCTAACTAAGGGTATAGATAATACGGTAAGACTATCATAGTGTTGAACCACCCTGTCGAAAAGCAGTGACTGATCTCACTTGTTAATGTTGTTTGTTAACAACCTAGTGCAACACATGGGTGTTTGCTTTAGGCAAGTTCACTAGACAGACCCACCAAAGGATTCCACATAGATGGTAACCCTAATGTCTGTGGAATAAATCCTCTAACGGATGGTGGTACATGTGATCCTTAGACTTGAGATCACCGGAGCGCCTGGTGCACCAATTAGTGTAGTTTGACACTAGCTCAGTGTAGTTCTATTCAGGATTATCATAACGGTAGTGGTTGGCTGCATCAAAAAGTGTATCAAGACTATGGTGGATTGACAGATGATTAATCACTCCCGAGTACAGGAGAAATTATCTCACTGAGCAATTCAGTAAATAGACAAACTGTGGCGACAGGTTGTCGCTCAATCCAATCTATTGTAACTGAATACAAAAAGATCAAGGACATCTAAAGTTGACAATATTTTTATACCTCAGCCTTGATGAGATAATGTATGATAAAATGATTGATTACACGATAGCCACATCATTGATAGGTAGCTGTTTCGTTGAATCTGAATCTATCGGGTGGTCATAATGTCTTACCAAAGGCCAATCTTGGTTTGTGAGTAGTAAGACAACTAATTGAGTGTTAATCGCGATACTACTCATTGCCGATATGATAAAAAGCCTATGGGTCACAAACTTATAAAATAATTTAAGAATCAAATATGTAATAGTAGTATTTTCGTCTTTTAAGATGAGGGGCATTTTGGTAATCTCACAGTTCAATTAAATTTGTTTAGGTTGTTGCCAGTATTCAATTAAAATTTGTGAGATTATATATTTAAATATGTGTGCATATATTTAAATGGATTATTATTATTTAATATTAATATATTTTTAATGTATTAATATTTGTGGATTTTAATAATAATAATAATGTTTAATAATTAAAAATACCAATATTGCTTGTTTGGCTACAAGGATAGATTAAAAATGGAATCCATGCTATTCCTAAATGAAATTTTAATTAGGTATACTATAAAAGTACAACTTAAACTTAAAACAATATACAAAAAAAACCTAGCCACCTTTTTTATTCTTGAATCCATAAAGTTATTCTAGCAAAATTAACTTATAGTTTTTCAGATTGTCTTTGTGTAGATCAACGTTTGTATGATTCTTTACTTGAATCGATAGAAAAATAAAAGATTTGAAGAAGCCTCCAACCGCAAGTATAATTGGATCCTTGTTTAGATTAATTTACATTATAATGATGTATGTAAAACTTTATATATATATATATATATAGAGAGAGAGAGAGAGAGAGAGAGAGAGAGACTAGGATCCTCTGTTTTAAAACCCGGACCGAACCGGCTGGTTCGACCGGAAGCCGGCCTTTACTTTGGTCCAGGTTAATATAAAACTGGGAATGTTATTAAACCAGTTTTGGACCGGTAATGGACCGATGGAATAGTACAAAACCGTCAGTCCGATCGACTCAGGGCTTAAAACGGTTCGCTATTTTTGGGTATCTAATCCAAAAAATTTATATTCCTAATTCTTAAACCAATTTGCAACACCGTTTCATTCTCCATTTCATTTGAATAAAAAAACCAAATTGTATCTTCCATTTTCATCTTCTATTCTTCTTCACTTACTCTAGAATCTACTAGTAAAGAAAAAGAAATAAGGGGAGGGGAAGGAAGAAGAAAGAGAGAGGAGACAAGAGAAAGAGTAATGAAGAAGATTAGAAGAAAGAAAAGCGGAGATGAAGAGAAAGAGAAGGAAGAACAAAGAGGAGATGAGAGAAAAATTATAGTAGACAAAGAAGAAAGAGACGAAGAAGAAAGTGACGGAGAGTGCTGGCCTGATGTGGAGAGAGAAAAAAAGGAGAAAGATGAGGAGAGAGAAAAAAAGGAGAAAGATGAGGAGAAAGAAAAAAATAATTAACAATAAAATTTGTAGGTTGCATTTGCTTTATTTTAAACTTATAGGAGCTTATAGGTAAATTTTAGAAATGTATTTGCTGGTTTTCAAACTTATAGCAATTAATGAAATTGTTTAAAAAAGTGACTGCTATATACCAATCTGACCGACCGATTCAATCGATTGGACCGATCAACCCGCAAATCGACCCCCTTAACTGAGTCAACGATCGATCCGATTTTTAAAACAATGCCATGATCATGAGACTTAAAGTGATTGATGAGCAAAAATTTTTATTTTTTCGCTACCATCCTTCATTTATAAATTATTCTAAAACTCCTCTTTTAACCATATAAATTTGATTAAAAAAATTCCAAACAATTTTTAAAATTGAAATGTTACAATTAAACTTTAGACATATAACTAAATAATACTACACATACATCATTCTCATACAACATTTCTCATACAACATTATGTGACAAGATATGATTGGATGAAAGTTTAATTTAACTTTAAATTAACCAATCATATCTTGCCACATACTTCAATGATCATATCTGATTTCTCCATATTAGTTTAGGAATAAAAAATAAAAGTAAAAACAAAACCACAAATTACAAATAAATAAAAACAGATCAACGGTATTCTACAACAATTCTTATCATGCATATTAATTTGCCTTCTACATTTTGGGGGTCTTGTAATGCTCTAAACTTGAGTATTGAAAAATGATAGCCAAATTGCATTTAAAAAAAAAAAAAAAAAAAAAAAAAAGATCCCTTACCAAACACAAATTACAAATAACATTTTCCTACTTGCCACTCCAAAATTTTCGTCTTCCAAAAGGTAAACCAGCTATATCCAAGACAAACGATGAACAGGCTGAATAATGCCACTTTCAGATTTTATCAAGCTTTAAATCAGTTATCGTGCAAAGCCTTCATCAAATATAGTCTGTTGAAACTCTGTCCTGTAACCCTGCAAGCAATGAAACAAAATTTATCAATCACTGGAACTAGTAAAAAGACAGCAAGACAGGACCGCCGCAGAGGTGACAACAAAAACTGTTGAGGTCTCTACCCTATTTTATAATCTTTAACTTCACTCCCCAAAGACAAGCAAAGGCATAAGGTTTCCGTGTGTGTGTGTGTAGGGGACACCATAATAGAGTCTAAAATTTGCTATTAAGTACTAGATCTGATCAAGGAATAAATTACAACAAAAAAATCTAAAGAAGTTATTTTACAGGAATTTGGAGGCAAGTGATATCATAACTCCACTTTCAACAGCTAAGGTCGTAAGCATCAAATCCTAGCGGTTAGAAATTGGTATAATTAAATTTTATTTTGGTGACAAAAATCCAAGAAAATAAACCCACACTGAAAACAAGTGCAGAAAGTGAATTGTCAGGGTTGCTGGATTATCTCAACATAAATCATGTCGCATCATATCAATGAAACAAAATGTCAAAAGGGTAAGAGGCAATAAAATTCCCCATGAACATCCTATGCCTCCCACCCTAAAAACTTGCACAACAATTAAATTAATAAATATAAAGATGATGAAGAGAAAAAAAAACGCAAAGCTTTAATATCATCAATAGATTTTGAAACCAAATCATCTAATTGTTCTTCAAAATCAGCAAGGGCCATGGTACAAGGTTTCGTCCTTGAGTTATGTCATATTCAAACGAAATCTTGGTAAAGACCAGGTAGCCATTTTGCAATCAAAAGAGGCGTGACAGAATGCAATCTATGAAAGTCTTCTAAGATTTATAACATACCCATTGATTTGGTTGCAGTAGTTTGCAATTCGATTGGTTACAAGAAAGCTTTCTAACCGGGATGGCTCTGGGATTGGCTTAAAGATGGGATTTGAAGGATCTTCCTCAGGTAAAGGTTCTTCTCCAGCAGCTTTACGTGCCTTATTCTCATCCCTGCAAAACAAAACAGAATCCAGCATATTAGTTATATTGACTGATGCATATGAGTGTACAATTAAAGAAAAACCTCAAAAAATACTATAAAATAGAATAGAAATTGTCAGAAGGAACTTAAGAGGCATCTGTTAACATCTGAAGTCTCATATGACACATGCATGCTGGTCATATGAAATACAGACACATAACATGTTTATTAAAAGTTAAGCCAAAAAATAACCTTCTCTTTTGAAGCCATGCATGCTGCTGGGCCTGTTGGCGTGTCAGGTTCCGGTAATAATATTGGAACTGGAAGAGAAACATGAATCATGTTAAAGTAATAGTACAGACACTATTACAATACTAGGAAAAGAGGACACAAACCTTTTGTTGTTCTGCTGATAAATCATCCATGCATTCAATTAAAAATTCCACGTTCCTGGCTAAAAATGGACTGCTTGATAATCGCAGGCGGTCATAATCACACTAACACAGAACCAAATAATCCACAGTAAGATTAAACTGAAAAATTATAAACATGATGATCCTGTAAGTTCTCCAGTTACAGTTGCTATTTTACCTGGGTGACTGGCGTATCAGCTTCCAGCTCAGTCATAAAAGCACTGACAAGTGCAGAATTTGAGACTTTTATCTGTGATACAAACACCACCACAAATTGAAACAATGTTCTTTTTGTAAATCAAATAAGACAAAGCATCAACAGAAAATACTAATTGTCACACCATCCACCACCAGATATAAATGATATTTGAAATATACATCAGTAGCAGCTAGAAGTCAAATGCAAACCAAGGCACAAATTATGCCAGTTCATCCAATAATCAGGATCAACAATGACTAAGATCTCACAACGGAGGAAAATAAACTCTTAAATGAATGACCTTTACATAGAAGTGCTTTTTGATTCTCCCTCACCCAGGAAGAGAAATAATGTTACAACTGCATACAATTATTTCTTCTGAAAAAGGATTTAGGTAACAGCACAAAAAATAATAGCAAGAAATAATAGAAATGATTAAAATTTTGCACAAAGAGAAGAAATAGTTCATAAGCTTACAGGAATTTCCTCAAAAATATCCACCCATGACAAGTTTTTCTCTCTCAACCTGTTGGAAAAAATACAAACATTGAAATTTGATAATTCATATAAGCCAATATTTTTTGAAACGAAAACATAAAATTCCCATACTTGTCCCCGGTAAAGTTGTTATTGCGGTAAAGATCCATGAAAGAATCAGAAAGCTTCAAAGCCTTGAGAGCTAAGGCACCTTGATTTGACCTTGAAGGATCATAAATTATGCACACACAACGTCTAATATTCTCCTGCAACCACACAAAATGAAGTACAAATGAAACCAGGGAAAAAATGAAAGGAAAAAAGCGATCATGAAAACTAGATGCCATAAAACAGAGGTTCCATCAATATGGTAAGATGTTTCATTTTTGAGTCATTTCTTTCTTCCCTTATTTTTGTGCGACAAAAATATTCAAGAAAACAGAACTAAATATATAATTGATCAAATCTATCTAGTTATCATTAGCAGCTATTCAAAATGGAGATCTCATACATAACAAACCCATAAAGGTAAGAGTAAACAGACATAAAACAAGGTGTTCAGACAAAAAAGGTGTCAGAATTGAATGCGTGGACCGACTATTTGATCTATGACAAGGAGCCACATGACACGGAATTTTCATGGATACGCTAAATTTCCACCCAAAAAATTTGCACTAGCCAGGCAGCTCAACAAACTTTCTGCTTAATTTGATACCATATGGTTGGCTGACTTAAATGAGAAGTTATGTCATAAACTTACAGAATATTTCTCCTTAACATCTATGGAAACCTTTAGAGCCCTTCCACACTCGTACATATAATAAATATTTTATGCTTTGCATATAAATACAAAGAAATCAGCACACTCTTACCCGCATAACAGAAAAACACGTAATCAACCAGATGATGGACTAAACACTTTGAGTACCTTTGAATTTTGCTGGTTCAAATAACACAAAGTTTTATTAAGTTTAACGAATCAAAGGTAGATATTCTATTTCCAGAATTGCTGGAATGAGCTGTAGCAATGCCCATGTATCTTATCTTGGTTTAGTCATGTTACTTGTATTTTATAGCCAATTATATGTGTTGTTCCATAGTAAAAAGTCAGTTTTTTTTTTTTTTTTTTTCCCCATTTAGAAATTATATTCCTGTATGATTGAGGAAATTTGGACCTTTGCTTTGGCACCTGTCTACTTTTTTCCTAGATGTGATTGCTTCGGAACCCCCTAGGTGTAAATGCCAGGCTTATCTTGATTTTTCTTCTCTTCTTCACCGTCTCAACTTTCAACCCTAAACTCTAAACCCCAAGTAAACTTCTTACAATTTTGTTATTGTGAAACCAGAATCAATCTAAAAGCCATTGCTTTAGACGAAAAAAAAAAAAAAAAAACTCTTACTAATAGTTCAGAAACCTACATTCCACAGAAAAAAAAGCATTCCTGTTCTGCATTACAGCAAGTGAAACATGACAAATGTTGCTTGACAAAGGCACTCACACAATAAAGGGCTAAAAGTACTATAACAGTGATTTGGAGAGCATATCCTTTCACTAAGGAACAGAAGGCAAACAACAAACATACCTGGTAATTCATAAATGTCTCAATCAGTTCTACAGTCTGAAAACAGCCCAGCATTGTTGATTGATACCTGAAAACATTCGAGAAAAGAATTCATTAAATTGAGAAAAAGATTAAGAAGAACCAATGCAACCTATTTCATTGGTATTGCAACAAATTATCCCTTCAACCAATGAACAAAAAATGTTACAGTAAATAATTGATGCAAGCAAAGTGAAAGGATCCCCGAACTTTATTTTTACATTGAATTTTATTTATGAAAATTGTATCCAACTATTATTTTTTACAATTTGTAAAGAAAAAATTGAGTTAAATTCAACCTACTTTTAGGACGCTTAGAATAATTAAACATTAGGTAAGGGCTCATTGATTAGTAAATAAGATCGTAGAAAGGATCAATTTAGGGCTGCACTAAGGAGGACGAAATTTAGTTGGAACTAAACATTCAAAAGCTGCTTACTCTCTTTTACCCCTTTCCTATACTTTCCAAAGCCTAATTAGCCTCACTATTGAGACTTCTTTCTCGTCTAATTCTCTCTGTAGGCCGATTATCTTTTGATTTCTTAATTCATGGTATCTAACTTTCAAGCTGTAGGAATTTCATATCAAGGAAGCTTTGACATACTACAGTGAACTCAAGCAATCCTAAAGTACTATGCAATTTGAACTTCACAGAACTTGTACAATCCTTCAGGAAGTGAAATCACTTAAAACTTAACTGAAAAGCGAGAATAAGTATGTTTATTTAAAATAAAATTAAAAAAAAAAAAAAAAAAACACCTTTAAACTTTGTCCTCAATTTGTAATTTGTTGTGAAGGGTGCTAATGAAAAGTTTCATTGAATCTTTAAAACCCTAGAAGTTTTCTTTTTCACACTTTGAGCAAATAGGACAGTTATTAACCAATAATTTGAAGCTGGAGATTAAATTTGGCAAGGCTTACCATCCGACAGTGTTGTTATCAACATTAACCTCCCTCAAACACCTCATCATCTCAAGCTGGTAATTAGCACCATCAGCCTCAATCTCCTCATCCTCTTCCTGGATCTGTACTTGTATTCGAAAAAAATAGTAAATAATTACAACATAATTTTATATTTTCTTGGGAAATTAAAGTAAAAAAAGTTTATCATACCGGGAAGGGGAAACAGTTAGTAACTTCAAGAACGCTACCAACATCCAACCCTAGAAGCTGACCAGTCACCAAAGCCGGTGAAAACTCCTTGCAGTGTTTTATTATCTTCAATATAACCTGTTTGTCATTTTTTTAATTAAATAAATATATTAATCCATCATCAACGATTAATAAAAAGCATAAAATCGAAATATGAAACAAAAAGAGAGAGTGAGAAAAATACCAGTCCCTCGATTTGAACAACTCTTAGAGGAGTAGCTACTTCTTCCGTTGCCGCTACTTGAAGAAACGACCTTGCCATGGCTGCAAAATAAATCAAAACCTAATTTTACAATAAAGGAACATAATTTGTATGAATATAAATTTGGAAAGAGACAGGTTCACTCACAATTAGCCATTGTTGTGAAAAAATAATTCTCTAAACGAATAAGGAAGCTCTCTGCTCTGGTGTAGTGCGTCTGCGTCTGCAAAACCCTAGTCGATTGTTGGGTCTTTCCCGAGTAGAAAGCTAGGCTTTTGTATTTTTAGTAAACGACATATTCCCACCCAAGGTTTGACGAAATCGTAAGTGAGTACCACATATTCCATTTATTCCAGATTCCCACCCTTAAAGTAACAGTGTTATAAATTTTTAGGGTTTAAGACGTGCAATTATCATAATGCCCCTAACCCTAAATTAATAAATTTTTTTAACCCCTAATTTATTAGAATTATAAAATTTACCATTTTATTTTCAAATTATATCAAAAACACCCCCAATAACTACACACCCTCATCGGAAACAGCCCGATCTGGGCTGTTTCCGACGACGTCGAACGTCCTGGTCACTCCATCACCTTCCCCGTATTCCATCGTCCAAAACCCCTCTAATTCCCGACTCATTTGCCCCTCCAATCGTCGGCACCGTTAGACTTAGGGTTTTGATGTTCTTCACCGGATTCCGGTCGATTCCGGCGGTGAAAATCCAATTGGACACCACCAATGAAACCACCGTATCTAGATCTATAAAATCCCCATGTCCCCAGTAGCCGTCTCGTCGTCATTCGCCGGCCGAGAGTTCGTGTTCTTCGGCCGTTTTTCGATGAAGCGGTGGACGGCAAACGGTGAGCTGCCGTGGCTGGAAACGTTAGGGGTTTTGTAGGGGAGGATTGGAGGAGTCAAATGGTGGTGACAAGGGTGATTTTGGGTGGAAAAAGAGCCGGAAAAAGTTTACCGGCGGTGGTCTGCTAACGTGCGCCGGAGGACTGTTACAGGCGGTGGTCTGCTAACGTGCGCCGCCCATGTAAAATGACCAATTTACCCCTTTACCGTTATATCAAACGTTTTTTCGTCACTTTAAGAGTGAGAATCTGGAATAAATGGAACCTGTGGTACTCACTTGAGATTTCGTCAAACCTTGGGTGGCAATATGTCGTTTACTCTTGTATTTTTATTGTTCCCTCAGGCCACCTGGGCTGAAAGGTTTGGGCCTTTATTCTTTTATTCAATCAATCCCTACAAGGAGAGCAGTGTCAATGTGTTGAGGTTTAATTTATACACTCTCAAGGTGCATTTGGTTGCGGGTCTCCGAAAATTATTACTGTAATCTATCTTTTATTACGGGCATTACATTATTTGATTATCAAGTAATATCAATAGTTGTTATAGTTAGTATATAAGGGGTAATCAAATTACCTTCTCAACAGGTGTTATTAAAAGATTATCGAAGTAATCTACTATTCATACCAATTTTATCCTTAATTAAAAAAAACTTCAAACACAAATGCCCTTATATGTCTACCAAATAATAATTAGTCCAATTGTAAAAAATGACTTCTATAACCTCATAAATTAATTTTTTGGACAAAAATGCCCCTCACTTTTTATATGAATACCACGCAAAATTATTTAGCCACTGCAGACGACAAGTGGTCACCAGTCACCACCGCTAACTGCCACTGGTAGTCGTCAGAACGACACACGATCGTTTGAATCTAGCCGACTGTGCATCAATATAGCCATTTCTAGCTAAATCGAAGGTTGGAAATAGCCATATGGCCTTGGATTTGGTAAAAAACAGCTGATATATTCTAACCATTTCCATCCAGATCCATGGTTGTTAACGATCAAAATAGATCTGACCATTTTTTGCCAGATCCACGGCCATTAATAACCATAGATATGATTGTTAATGGCCTTGGATCTGGCCGAAAATGGCCAAATCCATGGCCATTTAGGCGGTAACGACCAGATCAGCGCACGGCTGGCTAGATCCAACTGGTCGTGTGTCATTTCGACGACTACCAACGGCAATCGATGGTGGTGGCGGGTGATCGGCAATCATCTACATTAACTGGGGATATTTTTAAAAATTTAAATTTTTGTTGTTGAGGTGTTTTAACTAAATTCTCAAATGTAGGGGGTAAAGAGTAATCTATCTAAAAAATAATAATATTATTATTAAAAAAGAAGGGCAATTCAGTAAAAGCCTCTGACGATAATATTTTATTCCTCCCAACCAAACATTTTAATTATTTATACCCACCAATCTAACCAAACATATTGATATAATATTCCTCCATAATTTTCAAAGTAATCTATCTTACTAGTAATCCTACATTTTCAGCAATAAAACATTCCCCGAATCAAACTCACCCTCATGGGTTTATCGATTTTGTAGATGAGACTCGAAACTTTCCGAAATGCACGGGTAGCCCACATTCCGTTAATTTTGTGAGTTAACTTTAACAAATAAAAAGATATTTTTGAAATTATTTGACTTTGTAAATGGTATTTTTGACTTTTTTATTTTTTATAAACCCTAGCTAAATTTTTTTTCTCTCTTCCTCTATTGTCTAAAATTAAAATATCCTTAAGCTCTAAAAATATGGACATTGTCATTGCATAAATTGGAATATTGTATAAATCCGATCTTGAAATATAAATTTCTTGCAACCTTAAAATATGAATGTGGTGATTGCATAAACTGGAACATTGCACAAATCCACTCTTGAAATATGAATGTTTTGCAACCTTAAACACAAAATGTTTACTACAAAAAAAATAATAATATTAAATTTATCAAAAATTTATCTCATAGTCTAAATCTGTAAAATAAAAATATTTGAACTCAAATCACATCTAAGATGTCAGTGGGGTGGGTTGGCTGAATACTAAGAAATTGATGCCCATGCCTGTTCCACGCCCATCTCTTTTATGAATACTCAAATCCACCCCATTATCTATTTTAAAAAATGCAGAGGGTTTGGGTTTGGATTACTCTTTTTTTTGGTAAACCTTGGATCGCTCCATTTGATCAATTTTTTATTTATATATATATAAAAAAAAAAAATCTAACACAGTCTATACAAACTATTTCATAATATATAAAAAAAATATTAATAATTTATAAAACAATTCATAATCTAAACAGTGATGTAACGCCCCACTTGAGGTACATAGTTTAGATTTGCTGTATTGCTTAAATGTTCATTTAGTTATTCCCAATTGAGTTTGTATGTTGTTATTTTTTGGTTGGTTGGTCTTTGGTTGAAATGGTATGTTGAGTTGGTTGAGTGTTTGGCTTGAAATTGGTTGAGATTTGAGGAATCTTGGTATTACAGTCTTCGCTGCGGCGACGTCAGCTCTGTGTTGCAATGTCGGTTCTGTAATTTTTAGGCGCAGCGACGGGACGGCAGAAAAGTTTCTTAAGAGTTCTAGAGAATTCTCCATAGGGGTAAAATGACTATTCTACCCCTAATTAGCAGGAAAAGTGGGGAGTAAAATGTAAGGAAATTTAGTAGAGAATGTGTTGGAGTTGGGGGTGTGTTTGTAATGAATCAAAGGACAAAGATGGAATTTTCAAGGAAGAGCAAGGGCAAAATGGGAAAGAGTGGTTATAATATGAGCTAAATAAGGGATTAAGTGTAGTAAACCCTCATTTCACCCATTTCCACCGCCATTCTCACTCTCTATTTTCTTCCCATCCTTCATTCAATCTTCCAAGATTTCTAAGGAATTTTAGGGAGCTTTTGGGTAGTTGTTAGTAGAGATTTCATCTAAAGCATTCTAAGGTAAGGATTCTTGCTTTAGATGAGAATTTGTTTATGATTTGTTGAAGTCTTATGCTGTTATTGTTGTTTAAAGTTGTAGAGACAAGACAAGACAACAAGGGGAAGGAAAAGTGCTAGAGAAGTTATTTACCCACAAGGTAAGTAAATCCAACCCAAGTTGAGATTTAAGAACTTTTTTGAGTAGAGATTTATGTATGTATGTGTATATATTATGTTTATTGAGAAATTGTGATGAGATGGATGATTATTTCTATTTATTGCTGTATATACTTGAGTTATGAGAAGAGTTGAGATTTTATGATGTTGAGTTGAGTTTGATGGAAGTTGGAGAGAGTTTTGAGCCAAATCCTTTGGGAGTGTCTACCATCTCTTGGCATAACAGGATATTATCTCCTATTCTCCTATCGCCAACAAAGGCTGCTTGTGCCGGGTCAATGAAGACAGGTAAAGCACTCTTAATTCTATTCGCAATGATTTTGGTGATACATTTATAAATAATGTTGCAGCAAGAAATGGGCCTATAGTCCTTGCACAAAGAAGCATTATCACACTTGGGAATAAGAGCAATTGAAGTACAATTTACCTTCCTAAGAAGCTTGCCCTCTTTGAAGAAGTCTTTAATATCCATAGTCACATCTTTGCCCACCACATCCCAAGCTTTCTTGAAGAAATAGGCACTAAAACCATCTAGACCAGGAGCTTTGTTATTGCCTAAAGAAAACATAGTGTTCTTGATTTCCTCATCCATCACTTCGGCAATCAAAAGTTTAGGCTTTCTATGTTTATTAGCCTTACTTTTGATTTTTTTCATTTGATTTCTCAATTTGAACCCTCATGGTTTCATGGAGCTTCTTCATGTGCTTCAACTTCTCATTGGCATCCATACTCGGTTTAAAATCAAGGGGTAAGAAAGTGAGATCAAAAGAGATAAGTGGATTTAATCCATATAACACCTTAAATGGAGTGTGACCCATGGTAGAACTTAGACTCCTATTATAAGTGAATTCAGCATGTGCTAATTGCAAGTCCCAATCTTTCAAATGCTTGCTAACTAAACTCGTCAAGACATTACCCAACACCTTATTCACAACTTCGGTTTGGCCATCTGTTTGTGGATGATGTCAAGTGCTAAACATCAACTTAGTTCCTAATTTACCCCATAAACTTCTCCAAAAATGACCAAAAAATTTGGTGTCCCTGTCTGAAACAATGGTTCTCGGAATTCCATGAAGTCTCACTATTTCCCTAAAGAACAAATCAGCAATTTTAGATGCATCATGTGCGGTATGACATGGTATGAAATGGGTCGCTTTTGAGAACCTATCAAACACTACCATGATAGAATTGTAACGCCCACACGG